TTTCGCCTCCTGACCATCTTCGCCTACGGCACCTACGCGGACTACCTGGGTGAGGCCGGGCCCCGGGGCGGCAGGGGCACAAGGCGGTTCAGGGGCCCTTTCCCCTCCCGGTGGTGGTGGTCCCTCGGTGTGGAAAACGTGCCAGAGCCCCGAGCCGTTGTAGACCCTCACCCAGTCTGCCCCCCTTCGCAGCAAGAGTCGTGCCTCCATCGCTAAGGCCTGAGAGACGCCTGATTGTGGTTTAGGCCGAGACCACTGAAGTACCTGATGATAATTAATGCTGCCATTTGCCAGCTGTGTGGGGAATTTTCAAGAACATCTTGACAAAGACATTTTTGAGGGCAAGGGGAAAGACTTAGGTATCCACTGGGATCTGCAGACCTGTATAAATAAGGCATGGGACAGCTAGAGAGGATGACTTGAGGCTGAAGGGAGGAAAGGCTGCTCAGAAAAGGCCTTTTGAGCTGAGAATTAACGAGGATGGCTTGGCAAGATGAAGCATCACTTGGGGGATTGGTGTGCAGATGCTTTAAGAAACGAGTATGGTGTAGATGCTTCTGTACAGGGCTGGGAAATGGGAAATGGAAAATGAGGCATAAATTCTTATACCCTGTTCTTTCCCCTGACACTAGCTGAAGCAGCGAACCTCCCTCCCTTGACAGAGGCTCAGAAGAACAAACTGAGGCACCTGTCAGTCGTCACTCTGGCTGCCAAGATCAAGGTAGTGGCCCTATTTTTCCCCGGTTTCTCCTTCCACTGGGATTACCTTATGCTAGTTACCATCATGTTTCCACAGTGCATCCCCTACTCAGTGCTACTGGAGCAGTTACAGCTGAAGAACGTCCGGCAACTGGAGGACCTCGTGATTGAGGCTGTGTATGCAGATGTGCTGCGAGGGAGCTTGGATCAGCGGAACCAGCGCCTGGAGGTGGATTACAGCATTGGGAGGGACATCCGGAGGGAGGAGCTAAGCACCATCACCCGCACATTGCAGGAGTGGTGAGGAGGAAGCCCCCAATACTAACACCCAAAAAAGGTTGCAGGAGTGGCCGGTGGCTTCCCCGGATCCTCTGTGTGTCGCTGGGGGGTAGTGATGTGAGGTGGCTTACTCAATCCCCTTTCCCATACTCCAACAGAAAGTAATTTTCCAGATTTCCCTGTTTGTTGCTGGACGGGTGATGAGACTGCAGCAACCTTTGCACAGTCCTAGCTGCTGGCAGGAGGCTTTCTGAGTATATATCTGTAGTTCCTAACCTAGTGTTGCTTTGTTATTTGTCTCCCTCCCAAGTAATAACGTCACTACATTATTAAATTGGACTCCTGTTCCTTTGTCTTCCCTGCCTGGTGTAGCTGTCACCTTCCAGTCTTTTTGGCCTCTAGAGTTGAAATCTGTCATCTTTCACATTTCTCTCTCTGCTCTGTAAATTACCTGGCCTGTTCAGTTCTACGTCTTCTCTCCAGGTGCCAAGGCTGCGAGGCTGTCTTGTCGGGCATTGAAGAACAGGTTAGCCGGGCCAACCAACATAAAGAGCAACAGCTGGCACTTAAGCAGCAGATAGAGAGTGAGGTGAGTGGGCTGAGGAGGGAGTAGCCAGTGCCCATCACTGTAAAATAACTAGAACCAATGCGCTGTGGTTGTTAACAGTCTTTGCTCAAGTAAGGCATTACCTTTTTCCTAGGCCAGACCCCCCAGGGGCTTCTGCCTGAAGAAGAGTCCTAAATCAGCTTAACACTCCTCTTGCAGTACAGGGGTCTGGACAGCTGTTAGCTGTTTTGTTTGACCTGAGCTTGCAGCTCTTAACTCCAGGACTTGTTTTTAAAACAAACAACAAACCAAACAACACCCCAAAACCAAACTAAAAAAACCCCTAAACCCCAAACAAACCGAAAACTTTGGGAAATTCCTTGTTTCTTGTTTTCTGCTGTTGCAGGTGGCAAACCTGAAGAAGACCATTAAAGTGACAACAGCAGCCGCTGCAGCAGCCACATCCCAAGACCCAGAACAGCACCTAACAGAGCTCAGGGAGCCAGCCCCTGGCACCAACCAGCGTCAGGCGAGCAAGAAAACTTCCAAAGCCAAAGGGTGAGGACTGGGGGCAAAGAAACAGCCACTCTGTGTGTGTTCAGGAGGTGAACTGAAGGGAGCCTTGTTTTGGAGCAGTGAGGTTACTGACTGCAGGGGTCTGCTCCCTGGACAGAGGATGGTCCGAGATGTAGTCCCAGCTGAGCTTTTCCCCTGCTAACTTGAAGGAAAAATCTCTGTGGCTCTTCATCTGAAGCAGAGTTCATAAGCCTTCCTTATGTTCTCCCCTTGTGAAGAACATCAGCTGCTCTTCTTTGTGTGCATTTAGAAAAGGAAGTCAGGGATGAGCCTGAGTGTCTGCTCTGAATTTTCTTTTTTCTCTTCTCTCTCCACAGGCTCCGGGGCAGTGCGAAGATTTGGTCTAAATCAAATTAGTTGGATCTCCCTTCACAACTGGGAGGGTGAGAGGAAGAGATTTGGGGGATGGAGGGGTAGCAGGGGTCCCAAGTGTGATGCTTCTGAGCTCTTCTCTGAGATCCTTCTTGCCAGCTAATTCTCCTGCATGTTTGTTCTCTTTCCTGTCTTCTTTACCGACTTCCCAGGCAGTCTCTCCCTCCTTTTCATCACAGCATTTCACACTCTAAGCTTCCAGTTGTATGCGTTGCTGTTTCCCCTACCACTCAGGCCCCCATCGCCATGGCCATGTATTTCTCTCTTTCTCTCTCCCTGTCTTTTGACAGGTCGATTTAAAGAGCCATAAAACCGTGTCAG